TAAATCAAATTTTTTTCCCCTTATTCCTAACTTGTAAAATTAAATGAAGGGGAAATTTGATTGCATGACAGTGCATCCTAGCGGAATATTTGTTAACTAAATTAAATTTTTTTCCCCTCATTTTTAACTTGTAAAATTAAATGAAGGGGAAATTTGATTGCATGACAGCGCCTCCTAGCGGAATATTGGTGAACTAAATCAAACATTGTTTGTGGTGAAATCTCTATCAACCTCCTAAACATTATATTTTTCTGATACAAATCGTGGATTTTTCGATGATTTTTCAGAGTCAAAATTCGGCTGGAGGGGAAGTTGGATTGCATGACAGCGCCACCAAACGGCAAATTCGTGAACTAAATCAAAAATTTTTTTCCCCTCATTCTTTATTATTCTTATGAACGTGTGACGCCATTTAAAATGTTTTTAAATTTAAATAATTTTTAACGTATTTCTTTCTTTCCTTTATTATTATTATTATTTTTTTTCCCGTATATAAAAAGGGTAAAAAAAAAGGGAAGAAAAGATGAAATCCAACGACAGAAGAAAAAAAATGATGATTGATTGGATTTTTAATATATAAGTTCATATTTATTTATTTTTTTTTAAATTTTAATTAATAATTTTTTTTTTTTTTTTAAAACAAAAAATAAGAAATAAAAGTTTTTTTTTCAGGTAACTAAATTAATTATTATTATTATTATTATTATTATTATTATTTATTTTGTCGTTATTTACCAATATTTTTATAAAAAGTTTTCAACGGAATTAAAAAATTAAAAAGGGTAAAAGGAAATAAGTAAATGATTGAAAGATTATTTATTTATTTATTTGAAACATATCAAAATAATAATTTATTATTATTATTATTATTATTATTTAATTAAAAATAATCGTTACGATTATTTACAATCAAGTTTACTAAAAAAAAAAAAAAAAAAAAAAAAAACAGCGTAATTAGCGACTTACACTTGACACGTCATAATAATTAATGACGTTTAATAAAAAAAAAAATTGAATTTTGAGAAAGAGAGAGAGATAGAGAGAAAGATAAAGAGAGAGATAAAGAGAGAAAAGGTAACCTCAAAAATTATTATTTAAAAAAAAAAAAAACGAGAGAGAGAGAGAGAGAGTGAGACAAAGAAAAAAAAGGGGGAAAAAAAACAATTTTTAAATTTTACATAATAAATAATAAATAAATAAATAATCAATCATAATCATCATATAAATAATAATAATAATAATAATAATAATAATAATAATAATAAATTGATAAGAAATAATTAAAATTGATAATACAATTTTATTTATCTATAACACATTCTTCTTATTCAAATTTCATTTACATACATACATACATGTATATATATATATATATATATATATTCATTAAATTATAAATTAAATAATAATAATAATATTAATAATAATAATTTTAAATAATTAATTTATCGATCGATCGATCGATTGATTGAGATTGATATTGATTCAATTATATATATATATACATATATATTCGATTGATTACAAAAAAAAAAAAAAATACAAAAATAAAAAATAAAAAATGATTTGATTGATTGATTGATTGACAATAAATTTAAAAAAAAAAATACAAATAAACATACTAGAAAAAATAATGATAGTAATAATGATAATAATAATAATAACAAACTGTTAATTTTTTTTTTAAATACAATTCATCGTCGGATATGATAATCATAACAACAAGAGTCGACCAGCAACGAATATTTTTTTTTCTTCCCTCCCCCTCTTCCCCCCGTCCCCGCCCCCCCCCGTTACAAACTTGAACGTTTTCTCAACCGTAATAGAAAATTTTCATTTCCTTTTCTTCATCCCCTTCCCTCTCCCCGATTCGTTTCCTTCCTTCCATTATTCCTCTTCACAATTTTCCAACGGATCTTAATCTTAATTTAATTTAATTTAATTTATAACGATTACAATTAAAAATAAAAAAATCTCAAAGTTTTACAATAAAATGCTGCCGAAATTTCCCTTTTTTTTTTTTTTTTAATATACAAAATACAATAATAATAATAATAATAATAATAATAATAATAATGATAATAATAAAAATTTATATTATATAATACATTTAAAAAGAAAAAAATGATGGTGGTGGTGGTGGTACCGGAAGACATGACACACATTTAAACTTCCCGTTACTAAAACAATATCATTATTATCATCATCATTATTATTATTATTAGTATTATCATTAGAATGAGAATTATCGATTTAAATGATTGATTGTATATAAAAAAAAAAAAAAAAAAAAAAAACGTTTTTCCTTCAAAGTCTTTTTCATCAATTAATTAATTAATTAATTAATTAATAATAATAATATATATTAACACTTAACCCTATCATTTACCTATTATTAATTATTTTTATTTATTTATTTATTTAATTAATTAATTTATTTATTTATTATTATTATTATTATTTAAATTACGTTCATTCATCATCAATCATATGATTTTTTTTTAATTTAACAAGCGAGTAAAAAAAAATTGACTAAATATATATATATATATAAATTTTTTTTTTGTATTTTGCAATCGAGTTAAATTCGTTTGTTTGTTTGTTTGTTTGTTTGTTGTTGTTGTTGTTGTCGTCACAATTTAATTTTACCCGCGTGTGCACACGCCCGCGCACGTGTAAATACATGATAAATTAATTTTTCTTTCTTTCTTTTTTAATTATTATTATTATTATTATTATTTACATTATTAAGTGGATTTCATTAGTATATGTACATTAAAATGAAAAAAAAAATATGGAGGAAATCATAAAAATAAAATTTTTTTAAATTCGCATGATTATGATGAATGATTATTAAAAAAAAAAACACAGCCCTCGACGTCGTTTCCCCCTCCCCCCCTCCCCCGATTCGATTACTATACTTCCGCTTCCGGCTCATCGTCCATAATTTTCAACAGCCGCAAAAAACCAACTACAAATTTATTATTATTATTATTATTATTTTATTCATTTATGAGTTGTATTTTAAAAATTGACGTTCGTTTCCGTTTTTCCTTTTTTTTCCTTTTTTTTTCCTTTTTTCCATTTTTTCCTGTTTTTCCTTTTTCTTCTTTTTCTTCTTCTTCAAATTCGTTTATTTATTTATTTAATAATTTTCCTAAAATTTCATCATTTAATTAATTTTTTTAACATGCGTGTGTGTTTTTCTTTCCCCCCCCCCCTTCCCCCTTTTTCGAGTTTAAATTTTCCTAAACTTTCGATCTAACGTCTTGAGCTTCCCTGTAGAGTCGATTCACGCCTTTTATGGGGAGCGGATGAGCTTCCGTGTTGAAGACCCATTCGTCGAATGATAATAACGAATCGTCGCTGAATAGGAGGTACAAGTACTTGAGGGTTTCGGCGAGGAAAAAACTTTGCTGAACGTCGTCCTTGTGACTGTCTTCCAGGTAGACGTCTTTTATTCCCGTGTATCCCCCGGATACCCGACAGTATTTCTCGATGGCTTGAACGGCTTCCCATCCCCAGTCTCTGTATTTTTGGTCCTTCGTCAGTCTCCACATGTAAAAATAACTTTCTATCACTTCCGGCCTGAGAATGTAATATTTGTCGTTTGTTTTAATCGCTTTCGCTTCCACGCTTTCCGTGAACCTGAAACTTTCGGGTCCCAATTTCGTCACGGAACGATCGTATGATTCGTGACACGTGTTCGTGATCCCCTTCGCGACTTCCATGTACCTGTCCGATATTTCGTTTTTGAGCGATACCGACGCAAGTCCGAGCAATCCACCTAATTGAAAAATTTTTTTTAAATTAGCAACAGAAAAAAAAAGATAAGTGAATTACCGAAACGGTTGCTTTTCCTCTCCTCGTGGGTAGCCTTTACCGGAAAAGCAAGCCAGATGATCCATTTTATGCTCTGGTCTCTCGTATTTGATATCCGTTATGTAAGTCAGACCCCCCGTGGACACTTTGAGCATGTGTTCGAATATGGACGACATGGCGTTGTCGAACAAATCTCTCGCTTCGTAATCTTCCTTATTGCTTTGAATCCAGGCTTTCAACAGGTATTCGTAATAACTGTCACCCAGGGCACCGATGGACATGTGATCTAAAAAAAAAAAAAAAAGAAAACAAACGTCACATGTTTCGAATGAAAAAAAAATTAAAAATTTCGAAATTTTCCACTCAACTCACGTTGTCCCCATTTCCCCGTTTTGGGATGTAAATAATTCGGATAGAGTCCTCTGGGTTTATCCATTTTCTGGAGAACGCGACGAATATGATCGACCTTTGAGCGAAACAATGGATTTCCGGTAACATCACTCAGGTATGAAAATTCCAAATGAAGAGTTCCGAATTCGGATAGAATGCTGCAGCCTCCGCTTGCCCAACCGTAATTCTTACTTGCCTAATTCAAAACAAACAATGACATCAACAACGACAACAACAATTATAATAATAATAATAATAATAATAATAATAATATTCAAAGCGTTGTATCTTACGCCTGTCTTGATGTTAATCAATGAATTTGGAATTCCGGTAGGCGTTTGAAAGGCAGGAAGAAGGCTTTCGGCCACCTTGAGAGCTTTATCACGAAACATGGTGTCTCCGGTGAGTGCGTAACATGATAAAAACCCTCCAATGAATCTGATATTTGTCTCGAAAACTGAAAGATCCGAAGACTGAAAAACAAAAACAATCAATTATTTAACCGATGATCGATAGGAAATAAAAACGGGGAAAGAGAATAAAAAAAAAAAAAAAAAAAAAAATGGCGGGTGACGTGACAATAGAAAAAAAATTAAAATCTCTCTATACGTCATAATCGTACGAACTGATAAGTAATGATCTGAAAAGTGTGACGTTGAGAAAATTAAAAAAAAAAAAAAAACGATAAAACGTCAAACCCTGACAAGAATGTGAGAGGAGAGGAGGAGAGAGGGGAGGGGAGGGGAGGGACAAGAGAGAGAGAGAGAGAAAATGTATAGTCCACGTACAATTGAAGATATGTTAAAGTGATTTGCGATCCAGTCTCTTCCCTGCTCGTATTCTTTTTCCATTCCCATGATGTAAAGGGTGTCCAATCCGTCCACGATGGTCGCTCCGAGAGCTCCCGTTCCGAATATGCTTGCCGTGTGTCCCCTTTTCGTTATGGGCCTCAATTCATTTTTCCCCCATGCGTATCTCACGTAATTGTCCCACGCATGATGCATCATCTGTGAAATTAAAACAAGATTAGAATTCACATTTTACAAAGGAGACTACTAGAGTACACGGATCCGTCGGGATTAAAATATCAAGACGAGTGTTTCCGGTTTCGAAAGACAAAGACAGAGAGAGAGAGAAGGGGGGAGGGGAGTTTAAAAGGAAAATTCACATGCTCGCATATAATAAACCACACGTCGTGCTGGCATAAACCGGAAATGGATGGTGGCGCTAAAAAATGAACTACCCTCGTAGCCATTTTTTTTTTTTTTTCGTCTTCATTTTCGTGTAAGGTACTCTCAATCGGAATTGCCAACTTTGTTTGTTTTTTTTTTTTTTTCTTCGTTTTCCTTTCACTTTTTTAATCGAACCGACCAGTTTGTCTGGATTCCCTTTTTTTATGTGTGTATACGTCACTCTCTTCGAATCAAAACTTTCACCGACCATTTTTTTTTTTTTTTTTTTTTTTTTTTTGCAAATAAATAAAATGATAACAGACAAATGTTTTTATCGCGTATTTAAAATGTTAAGAAATTTTGATAACCTCTCAACTTCCGCTTTGTTAATTATTAAATTCTTTTGCAAATTGTTTGTTTGTTTGTTTCGCTGTTTGTTTGTTTAATTGATAATTTCCTTCTCTCTCTCTCTCTCTCTCGCGTGCAAAAAAAAACCCAAAAAAAAAAAAATTAGCATCGAAATTTTACGCGTAAACTTTTCCGCCACGGATTTCTCCTTCGAGAAAATCATTATTATTATTATTATTTTTTTTTTTTTTTTTTCGTGAACACTCACCTCGCGTATTTTAGCTCTTCTAAATATGTTTGTTTCGTCTACGGGTTTATCGTTATCGACCACCGAATATCGGAGCAAAGGGGTTAATCCTTCTCCGACGGTAACATTTCTTTCGAACGTCGAACTACTTATCGGATTCGCGAAAACGTTCACCGTTAAAAAATTCGCAAACAGTAAAATCGCCACCGTCACCATCGTCACCACCGTCACCGCAACGTTTACCATGCCGATTAATAATAATGTATGTGGAAAAAAAAAAAAAAAAAAAAATATGTGTCGACCGGTTGGTTACGATGACCAAAGCAATGCCCGTACAAATACACACGCACGCACTCACACGCACACGCACAAACGCAAGCGCTCGATGCCATCAAAAATTAATGACTTTACGGAAATATTATTTCGATATCATAATGCGACGCGATTGGACCGTCGAGATTTAAAATTATTACTCCTTATATTACCCGTGCATTTCAATAAAACAAACGACAACGACAAACAACAAACAACAAACAAACAACAATTTACGAAACGAGAAGTAATTGTGCGGAAAAAGACAAACGTCATTCTTTAATGATGCTTCGCGCGGTGGCGGCGGCATTAACCAAAAAAAAAAAAAAAAAAAAAAATCTTTGCCCCCCCCCCTCATTCGATTTGAATCCGCGGATTTTAATTCGATTCAAATTTTAATAATGATAATGATAATAATAATAAAGAACGTAATGAGAGGTCGATGATTGTACGACATTTTTTTTTTTTTTAACGAACGCAAGCAGCCATCTTGAAAATTTTAAATTGTGGAATAGAAAACAAAAACATTTTGACGAGGATTATAGTAGGCGTAATAGTTAAATAAATAAATAAACTAGAGCAATGAACTTTGAGTACCTCAAGAAGAAGAAGAAGAACATCTTTTTATGCAAACAAACAAACAAACAAACTAAAAAATTACGCGCGAAAAAACCTGAGAAAGGAGAGAGAGAGAGATAGAGAGATGTTGAGTCTCAATTTATTATTATTTTAAAACGACGGAAGTGACACACAAAAAAACTCTCACTCTTTTTAAATTGATAATAATAATAATAATAATAATAATAATAATAATAATAATAATAATAATAAAAATCGACGGGTTGTAATTTGTCGAAACTTGTTTTACGTAAGTTCCGTTCCGCGACAAAATCCGCGACAAAACTTAAATTCAAACTTACAAACGACAACAACAACAACAACAACAACAAACAACAAAGAGAGAAAGAATTTCCGAAACTTCTTTGCAATACTTTCTTACGTGTCGCGGAAATAAATAATCGAACGGTAAATTATTATTATTATTATTATTATTATTATTATTGTTTTTATTTACCTTTCGGTTGAACGAACAAACGAACGAACAAACGCGTCGTGTCGCAAACATGCAAATGAAACAAAACCGACGCATTTTTTTTTTTTAAATAGTTTTTTATGGTTTTCTCATCGCGATGATAATGATAATGATGA